TAAGTCAGTCAAACTAACGAGAAAACAAAGGAGGCACACTGAGCGAGTGATTGGTCCCCAGCATCTTTTCGGGTCTCTTCGAATGTGTGACTTCACTAGACAATATCACTTGTAAAACGATCGTTTCACGCCCTTTCTCAAATGCAGGTGATTTACTCAAGGTAAGATAAATGCCGTTTTCACCGTAAACATTTGTTGTCACTTTATGAAAAAGTTGTGGATGACATTTTCAGCACTTGCAAACGAAGAAAATATCATCACGAAGTAATGAAATTTTAATCAAAACTCCTCTTTTTATTGCGTGGGCGTGACATCTTCGCCATTAAATTTTCCTGTAAGGAAAATAAGCCGTAAAATTTTCATCAAGTGACAACCAAAATTTTACCGTGCGTTCAGTCTTGAATCCTTTCTGAATGATCAAACTTTGAGAAATTCCCCTGTCGTAAAAAAGGGGTGTCTTTCCAGCAATGACGGGGACGGGATCAGTCCCAAACAAATCATTGAACATCTCATGAGTAATGCGATGCCACGGAATACCACGGGCCGTTTCTTTCCATCGGAACGGTTTCATTATAATTTTTGGATCAGTTTCTCATGGTTTCGAGAGACCCATTAGGAGATGCCCCACGGTGTATGGGAAAAACTTCCTTGCCTTGACAAAGTCTCTTGTTAGTGCGAAGTGATGAATACAGTGACTGCTGTTACCAAAAGAGACATTTACGCAGCCACCACCTAAACTTTTGACGCTACATTTCAGTTTTGCAATCAATCTTTATCTGAAGGGCACCGTTGACATAACACCAATAAGTGTAGACAGAAAGACAGACCTTACGCGACCAGCCTGCAGCCTCAGATGCAAAAAAATAAAAGAAGCCCGCTGTGAAGCAGACTAATAAGACTTCTGTCCGTTAACTGTTTCAGATAAGGACCTGCAGTGGTGACAGCAGTATGGACATCCTCCAGGCTGAGCAAGGTTCCAGTGGTGACGGTGACACGAATATCTCCCAGCCTGGGCCAGGTTCCAACTCCTCCTGCAAGGGGGACATCCTTCCAGACGAGATCCTGATGATGATCTTCAGGCAGTTGAGCGACGGCGCCACGCTGCTCGACGTGCTGCCGCTGGTGTGCAAGCGATGGTGTCGCGCGGCCCGGGACCGCTCCGCATGGGCCGGGGTGGACCTCACGCTCGGGGACGATCTGGAGAGAGAGACCCGGATCCTGCTGCACGCACCCGCAGCCAAGTCTCTCACGATCAGGTCAAGGTCAGAGTCTTCATTCGACCTGGATGACGATGAGACCTTGGAACTCAAGGTGAAGTCTAGCTTGCGTCGCAGCCAAGTTTTGATAAACGCCTTCACATTGCTGGAGACGGGTCACGACTTAATACCCTCCAAAAAGCTACTGCGGGAAATAGCACGCTTCTTGAAACGGCAGCGGGAACTGCAGGAGTTGCGGCTGTTCGTGTTCCCTGAAGACCCCTGCCCCTGGTGGCCTGTCGTCCTCAAGCTGCGCCACTTGAAGAAGCTCGAGCTGAGGCTAAATAGGGCCGTGGACTACGAGGACGAACTTGCCGGCGCTCGCCTGCCGGAACTGCGTGAGCTGATAATTCGTTTCTCAGGCATGCGCTACGAGACTTTTGGAGCCAACTGTCTTCCTCCTGAGAACATTATCAGCGATCTTGTTCGTGGCACGGCGGCGCTTCGCGTCCTCGACGTGGAGCTGCCTCCGGACGACGCTTTCGATGACCGGCAGGCGTGCATGCAGCTTCGCGGCCTCGAGCACGTCGCGCTCAACGTGTACGACGACTGCGACGGCCGCTCGAGGATCCGCGGGCAGGCCGCGGTCCCTGTAGTGCGCAAGGCGTTTCAGTTCCTCTTGGAGTTGGACACTAGTGCCCTGCGCACAGCCACCATCTCCTTGTGCCGTGGGGAGCACGCCAACCACTCCACAGCAATGCGGGAGAGGTGCAACGCCTTGCTCAGAGAGTACGCTCCGAAAATCCCGCATGTGGCGGTGGAGATGCAGCTGGGTGGGCCAGACTGCGCAGACTGCGCGGACGAGGAGTGGATTGGGGGCTGTCGCCGTCACGATTGGCCCAATTCTGACGATTCCCTGGATTCTTTCGACGACATAATTGCGGACTACTAGTCGTATTACGTTCGACTGCACCTGACATGTTGTATGTTTAAATCATTAAAACCAATCCAATTTTCCTGTAGTCTTTTCAATTATTTTTTAACCATTCCCAACAATACTTATTTGAAGATAACTTTCGTTACGCGTTTCAATGGCTGACCTGAGATTCATATCTTGCTATTTTTTGAGGGAAATGCAAGCTGCTTTCAGTAATTTGTAGTCACTTCGGTGTGTTTCTTTCCCTTTTTGAAATTGATTATCTCTAGGTATGCGGGCTTTAAGGCTGGCTTGACTCTTCCGAAACTACAGCCTTAGCCTCGCTCAGTTCTTACTCAAATTGAGTTTGCTTCTCGCTTTCTCACATTCAGTCGTGCGGACTGAATTTTGTCCCACTCATATAAATACTTTCTGGAACCTCTTAACTATCACCGTTAAGAAAATCAAAAACGCACTGTGGGAAAAAATCACAGTAAATCCTGTAGTGATTAGTACAGCTGTCACTGTAGTTCAGAGTACAGGATTTCCTGTACCTTCACTCTCATTCCAGGAACGTGACATCACGTTGAAACGAACGTGACAAAATGTCACGTTCGTTTGAGCATTGTGCCACGTTCGTTTAAATGTGAACAAGCTGATTTTTGGCCAATTCACACCCAAACGAATGTGACACAATGCTCAAACGAACGTGACATTTTGTCACGTTCGTTTAAACGTGATGTCACGTTCCTGGAATGAGAGTGTTTTTTACAGGATCCACTGAACTCTGTACGGGATTTACTGTACCACAGGAGTGGAGTACGGAATATCCTGTACAAGGTACAGTAAATACTGTAGCCAGGCACAGTAAATCCTGTGTTCTGAACTACAGTAAATCCCGGCAAAAAAATTAACGGGATTCACTGTGGTTTTTTCGCACAGTGCGGGCCCGAGATGGCCCGCCAAAATAGTTCACGTTAGATTCAAAACAAAAGTGGGAGATTTAGAATTGTTAACTTTTCTGAGCAGATTTACAATATTATTAATAATAAATATTGATTTAAACACACGTCGCTTTGTAGCTTCGATGAGAGAGAGCGAGAGTATCGTGCAGACATTTTGTGGACAGCCAACCATTAATTAATTAACTAATTAATTAATTAATCTTTCCAATATTACAAACGAAGCGAACAGGCAAGTCGCTTTCATTGAATACTGAACAAACGCACGACCTTTGGCAGATGTGTGTAGTTGTGATCCATCAAGCTAGATGGCGATGCGCACAATGTAAGGCGCAACGTTCATGACTGCGAATCTGAGCAGTTCTGTTTCGAACGACAAGCGGGAAGCTGCGCATCACTGCAGTTGCGAGCGTGAGTCAATGAGTCTCTATGGTAGTGTAGTGTCAGTGGATTCTAAAAGTCGTACGGTGAAAATTCTCCATATTATGATGAAAATTTTCAGTAATGTGGTGGTGCAGCTGACTTAGTAACTTACCTTTGAAAATCCACTGTACTCTTAAGATATTTCGTCGTGTTTCTTTTGAATCATGGAGAAATTCTCCGCCATAATATGTTGGTGCAGCCTTTCACCGTACGACATTTAGAGTAGCGCACATTAAATCCGAGGAGTTTAAGGGACGTCCACCAAAAACATTACGCGCTTAGGAGTGAATCCGGCCTGCGTAACGCTACGGTGCTTGGGGGTCGGCTGTCAAAGCCAACGTAACGATTCGCCAAACACATCCAAGTGAGAGCACAGTTTTAAATAATAGGCAGTAAGTTTACTACCTATCGCGTTCAAATAAGAAATGAAGCTTAACGCTGACCTTTACGAGCGAGTTTGGTCCGGACCTGCGTAACTCCACATCACATGGAAAAAAGGGGGCTGGGGACGTCAAGGAGGACCAAAATAGTTCACAAGTGCGTAATGTTAACTGTGGACGGCCTCTTAGCGAACCGAATAGATCCTTTCAGTCACCACCGAGTGAAGAACAAAAGTAATAAAAGAGCCAGGAACCAGTAGGTACGTTCCAAGTGTTTCCTGGGCTTTTGATCACTTTTGTTCTTCACATGGCAAAACCAACGTTCGTGTTTCCCAGGCACACCTTAGGAAAAACAGGGCATTTTCCAGGGTGCGCCTGGGAAACCCGGACGTTGGTTTTGCCGTGCACTCGGTGGTGAGTGAAAGGATCTATTACAGTGTTAAGAAAATCCTCGGACCTAGAGTAAAACATAAGTTCCTTGATTTCGTGTAAAAGGATATTGTTCGTTCTGATACCAGGAACGTTACGTCACGTTCGTTGAAATGCGACTCGATTCACGTTCGTTTGAATGCCTCGTTCGTTTCAGTGTGAATCCAAGATAACGTAGGCCCACTCAGACACGTGTGGAGCAGATTCTCATTGAAATGAATATGCCATAGCATTTAAACGAACGTGACGTCACGCTGCTGGAATGAGAGTGTTACGTACGTTCCTCTTTGATAGTTGTCAAAATGTAATCTCTACTGCTCTCCATCTATTAGTAAAATAGTTCACATGAATTTGAAAGACTATATCAGGCATTATTTCTCAGAGCGCGTCAAACCCTCGATTCAGTACGAACCAGGCTCTTATCTTACTCGAAAATTTAATAACGTTTCTCAAAATAACTTAAAGCACTTATCGACTACCCAAGCGTTACGCGTTGCCGTGGCAACGAGAGAGCGAGTGTATCATGCTATGAGCAGCACAAATAGTTGTTATAAGATTCCCTATTTGAAATTTTAGTCCATTTAACGCTATAGATTTATTGAGTTAAAATGGTCAGGGATGCCCGTTTAGAACTGCTTTCCTCATGCTCTCTAAGATTTTTTGGTCGTAATTCCCTGTTTGGGTCGATTTTCAGGATGGCTGCCCCCAATGAACATGGTCCCGACGGCTTTGTGGAAGAAGAAGAAGACGAAGAAGATATGGAGGACGACGACGACGACCTCTCAGATGAGGAAGATTGGGACGACGATGAAGATTGGGAAAGTTACAGCTCGTCTGGCGAGCTCTTCTACATCCCCGGCGACTACTCCGTGGAAGAATCTCCGTACACGTCCTCTTCTTCAGACTCCGAGGACGTGACTACTGCCTACGTGGAGGAGACGGAGTCGGACGATGCACTCGGAGAGGTGAGATATCGCATTTTCCATCTTTCGTGGGGGTTTTGGACTTTGGATGCTTTCGCAGTCGTTGCGTTGTAATCAACCTCTCCTGAGGAGCCGTCCAATGATAATGTTACGCAGTTTCGTACACATTTTGACCTCCTAGTCCGTGAAGCGGCGTTACCCAGGCCTAGACGACCCCTCCATCCCCTCTCACGGCGTAACGTTATGCCAAATTTGTTATCTGAACGCGATTTTTGCTTTCACAACTCTCTGAAATGTGTTTTCACATATTTTATGTTTGGTGTAACGTTACGCTGGCCACACTATGTATCGCAGTGTTACGCAGATTTCTCTCTCTCCCTCCGTCCCTCAACTTAAAAACCAAACGTAGTCTAGACCGCACCAACTGGTGTGGTCAAATGGGTGCCGTTTTGACCGCATCAGTTGGTGTGGTTTAGACACGTTTGGTGCGTTTGGTGTGGTCATTGCATGGAAAAGCCACACGAAACGTGGTCTAGACCACACCAAACATGGCCAAACGTGGTCTAGACCACACGAACTGATGTGGTCAAAATGGCACCCATTTGACCACACCAGTGGTGCGGTCTAGACCACGTTTGGTTTTTCAGTCCCCCCCCCCTTTCACCCCACGTAACAAAATTAATGGGCGTCTCCTTATCACATTAATGTTTCAATAGAAGTGAAGTGAAAATAAGAGGCTAGAATTTAAAATGACGTTCTATGAATAATGAACAGCCCTGACGGGTCGCGGGGACGTGGATTGGACGTCCAGATCGCATCCGATTTGTTTCATATTGGATGCGAATAGGACGAGCTCGATCGATCCACAATCGATCCAGATACCATCCACAAAGTTCACAATGATGTCCAAACAACGTCTTAAACACGTCCAGAGCACATCCAGACCATCCACAACTGCTACGTATCCATTTCTCATCCAACCTATCCACATTTAGTCCAAAGTGCATCCAACGCTCTCCTTGCGCATCCAAAATGTGTCCAACGGATCCAGATCGCATCCCCGGCATCCACTGCGCATCCAACACACATCCTTCACATCCAGAATGCATCCGCCACATCCAAAATGCATCCAAACCACATCCAGCACATCCCAAACGCATCCAAAACATATCCATCGTATCCAGATCGTATCCATTTCACTTCCAAGGTGTTATTTGGATGTGATTAAGGTCTATTCTGGATATGATGGATGACTCCTCTGCTCTGGGTGAGCTGGACGACCTCCGGATGCGGATTGGATGGATCTTTCTTGTAGCCTGTCGACTCGTCGTGTTGATGTTGCTTGGATGAGTGACGAACTTCTCGAAACTGGTGAGCCTTTACCGGGAGTTGAACCTGGTCCCTTCCGCATACTAGCCAACTACTTAAGTCACTCGGCCACCACTTCCTTGTTAGAGGAGCAAGAACATTGGGGACTCTTAAACTTCACGTGAGGTATGGTCCACACAGCATCCTCGTTAAGTCCAGCTCGTCCACAGGCATCAACCGTCCAGACAACATCCACAATCTCCACTTGGCTTTCGAAACGACCAGGACATCTGGAGTGCGTCCTAAACTTATCCAATGCACATCCGTCACACTTTGAACGCATCCAATGCACATCCATCACATCCTGAACGCATCCAATGCACATCCATCACATCCCGAAGGCATCCAATGCACATCCATCACATCCTGAACGCATCCAATGCACATCCATCACATCCTGAACGCTTCCAATGCACATCCAACACATCCTGAACGCATCCAATGCACATCCCGAACGCATCCAATGCACATCCATCACATCCTGAACGCATCCAATGCACATCCATCACATCCTGAACGCATCCAATACACATCCATCACATCCTGAACGCATCCAATGCACATCCAACACATCCCGAACGCATCCAATTCACATCCATCACATCCTGAACGCATCCAATGCACATCTATCACACCATGAACGTATCCTATGCACTTCCATTACATGCTGAACGCATCCACTACACTCGGATCGCATCCAGAACGCATCCAACGCAACCAGATCGCACTACGGATGCGATCTGGATGTGGTGGATGCATTTTGGATGTGGTCTGGATGTGGTGGATGCACTTTGGATGCGATCTGGATGTGGTGGATGCACTTTGGATGCGATCTGGATGTGGTGGATGCACTTTGGATGCGATCTGGATGTGGTGGATGCACTTTGGATGCGGTGGATGCACTTTGGATGCGATCTGGATGTGGTGGATGCACTTTGGATGTGATCTGGATGTTGTGGATGCACTTTGGATGCGATCCGGATGTTGTGGATGCACTTAGGATACGATCTGGATGTGGTGGATGCACTTTGGGTGTGGTGGATGTACTTGGGATGCGATCCGGATGAGGTGGATGTACTTGGGATGCGATCTGGATGATATAGATGTACTTTGGTTGCGATCTGGATGTGGCAGATGCAGTCTGGATGTGGCAGATGCAGTCTAGATGTGTTGGAGTGGCTTGGATGTGATGTGGATTATGAACGTTTGGATGTTGTGGACTTCATCTGGACTTTAGGTGTCTCTTGGATGTGTTGGACTTGATGGAGATGTGGTGTTGCAGCCCAGTCACCTTTGTGTGGATTTTGCGGATGTAATGTGGACCCCTTGCGGATTCATGTGGACGTGGTGGACGTGAAATAGATGTCAGTAGATCTCCTGGATGTGTCGGATGCTTAATGGATGATCCGTCTCCGGCTGCTCGGGATGCAGTGGACGCGATCGGGATGCCGACTGGAGTAATGCTCAAAATGTGGATTGGCGCGGACTTGCGTGGACGCGGGGTGGACGCTAGGTGGATGCAACAGACACGAAATGGACCTAGTTTGGATGACGTGAGCTCCAAATCACATCCCAGCGACCCGTCAGGGAGAGATCATTGGTTGGCCGCCGTTGGCCGCCCTCTTTTGCGTCCGCCCAACGAATCAGATTTATTGACCTTCTTCATTTCTGTGTTACTTTCCGGTGCCCACGGCAGGAGTCCGACCGTTGCGCCGTCTGCTTCTCGAAGGCGTCCATGCCCTGCGACCGGTGTGACGACGAGTTCTACTGTGGGATTCTACACAGGATGATACACGCCAAGGAGCATAGACGCTCGTGCGTTCCTAAGGGCGGCGCTGCACCCGCCGCTGATGAAGAGCAGCCTTCGCTGCCAATTGTACAGGTGAGCTTTTATAGTCCTGTGCGGTCCTGTGTAAAGGACGGTGAAGGTATCTGAGGAGGATTGTCAACTGCGTCAGTTATGGGACCAGGGTTGTTAACGTTAATAACAAATGAAATTGTGCTAGAAAAAATAAGAATTGGTTAAAACTTGTTTTGAAAATAAAATGTTTTGGTAAAAGTGCGCAATTTCGTTGGAAATTAACGTTAATAACCCTGGTCGGGGGAAGTTGTAACGTTTTACTTTGTTGAACGAAAAAATAATCTTTAAATTTTTAAGTATTTCCTTTGTAAGACTGCATATGCTCAAACCACTTTGTTGTAACAAGCATTTTTTGTTATGTGAGGCCTAGAGTAGTTTGTAAGGTTTAGAGAGTGCACACTGTGACGCCCGTGCCTGGTGTTGCAGGACGCTCCACTGGTGACCCTTCCGTTGGACACGCTGCTCGCCATATGCAAGTTTCTCGGGTCGAGCGAGCTGGTGCGTCTCGGCTGGGTGTGCCGTCGGCTGCGAGAGGTGGCCCGCTCGGCGGCCGCCTGGAGCCACGTAGAGTACCCGGACGTGGACGTCCTGGAGGACCTGTGGGTGAAGAAGTTCTCGGACTACGGTGTGCTGCGCATCGCTCCCGCCCTCGACACCCTGGTGGTCGCGTACGTCTGGCCGGCCGCCAACCTCACCCGCTGCACCAGGAAGGTGAGGCAGTTCGAGCTGGAGTGGGACACGTCTGTCTTGGACGCCTACGACACGGACAAGGTCATCAGGCTGCTGCGGCACTACCGGGGCCATCTTCAGGTATACGTTCTACTCTGCAAGCTGAAGTGTGTACATAGTACACTCTCATTAGAGCATACCTCCAAGCACACTCCTATTTACAGCATACTTGCTAGGCACACGCTAAGAGTGTACATTGTATGTACGCGCTAAATAAGAGTTACTCTTAAACTGGTCTATGCTTTTGATAGGACTACTCGAGTGTATTTTAGCGTGTACTTGCAAGGTACACTCATATTTAGCGTGTACATCCCAGGCACACTCTTATTTGGCGTGTGCCTGGCAAGGATGCTGTAAATAAGAGTGTGCTTGGAAGCATGCTTTAATAAGAGTGTACTATGTACACACTTAAGTTTGCAGAGGAAGTTCCATTATTAAGCAGCTATTGTATTTGGTCTGACACGATTTGCGTATGCGTGCTATTCGCTCTACACACTAAATTATTACACTATAAACGTTACTGTCTACTAAGTATATGCATTTGTAAGTGTGGACTTGGCCAAGCATGCATTGTACTTGCAATCATGTGTAAGTGTGTACTTAGTGAACAGTTACGTTTGTAGTGTATGTAGTTTTTTTTTGTGCGTAAGCTATGCGCGAAACTGTGTATGCGTTTCAGAATGCACGAATTTCATGCTCATGCGTTGCTCACAAATTCGTGATTTTCAAACGCATGCCCAGTTTCGTGCATAGCTAATGCACTAAAAACTACATAGTAATGTAGCGAGTAATGTCTCAAGGTCTTCGATATTTCGCAAGAATTTTTGTGATTTTTCGTACAAATTTATGCGGAAAATTTCGCATGCGCAGAATTGTGTGAGGCCATGTTCAAAATTATAGAATATAATAACTGTTAGTATTGCGCTTGTGTTCACATAATTTGCTGTAAGCAGGTAACCGTCGCATGCTTGCGCATTGTGCAATTTGGACGAATATTTTTAAAAGAAAGTCTACAAGGCATGTGCTTTGTTACTACGTAGAAAATTAACAAATTGAAAACTTGCTTCGTATTGCGATTAAATGCTTGTGTAACGAATGCTTTTTGTTTACGATACGAAGCGACTACCGTGCACATTTTGCAATGTCTTCGTATTGCGAAGAAGCCGGAGAAAATTTGCTTTTGCTGGAGGCTTTTGCTGAATTTACTGCAACAAAGCTCGAATTTCATGAAGACATTTGGAGTTCACGCCTTGTCTATCCCTCTCTGGTTGCAGGTGGTGAAGCTGAGCTGCCTGGAGGCTGAAGGTCGGTTCGACAAGGCGGAGGACATGAGGTTGCTGCGGGCCGTGGACCGTCTCGGCATCAAGGAGCTCTACGTGGCGGACACGCTGCTCAAGGTGTACCCCGGCAGCACCAAGGCCGTCACCAAGCTGGAGGTCGGCGTCGACGTCAGCGGGCCCGTCCTGGTGGACGCGCTGTCTCACTGCCACCAAACCCTGACGTCCTTCCGAGTGGACCCGATGTTGCTGGAGAGGAACCGGTGGGCTTCTCTGGGGAGGAGGCGGGTGCAGCGCGAGCTCGCCAAGTGCACCAACCTGGAGGACCTGCGGCTCAGCATGTTCGGGATCAACATGAAGGTGCTGGACTCGTTCCCCCGACTGCGTTCGCTGAGCCTGCTCGACGTCGGCTCCTGCAAGCACGTCCCGGCGGGGCACTTCCTGGAGACGTCCCCCACGATGCGAGTGCTGCGGCGCCTGTCGCTGTACTTCGAGTCCACGATGCACTACGGCCTGCTTAAGGCGGCGGCCAAGGGCTGCATCAACGTGCGGCACTTCACGCTGGCCTGCCGGGGCATGTCCAGCACCAGCAGGGTCAGGTTGAGCGTCCACAGGGACCTGGCCGCCCTCCTCGGCCCCATGGGGGACCTGGAGACGCTCGTGCTCATCAAGGCCAGGGTCCCCAGCACCGTGTTCCAGAGCCTGGCGCGCGGCGCGCTGCCTGTCCTCAACACGCTTCGGCTCAGGAACTGCGCGGTGAGTGCGGCCAGTATTTTCACTGTACAGTGTAGTATTGCATTCATTTAAATCCACGGTAAATGTATTTTAACAATTTTGTACGTGGTCTCTCAGTGTTTTGAGCTTGTGAACTTTTTCGGACGAACTCCTACGCAGAGTGACGCTAAATTTGTAAAGCACGCATGCTTAGAAGTCTGTGACGCCACATACGAGAATTGTGTGACCTTCGTTATTCACTGGTAAAACTCAAGCGTAGTTTTACGCCTTTCTTCAAGCGTAGTAGAACTACGCTCGGCTTCAAGCGTAGTTCTCCATTTTGCCCCTCTCCCGCCTATCTAAATGCATGGGAGTAATTACAACTACGCTTCAGTTTTACCGGTGTTCATAACAGCGTATGTACTGTGGCATTGTCTGTGAAGATACGTTGTTCTGTCAGATGATCACTTAATTGCACAAACGAATTAAGTAATTACTGTACTACACCTAGTGGTGCCATTGAGAACGTCCGATCTCCATTCCCCACCAACTCACTTGCTTTTGAGCTGCGATTTCGGGCGTTTGTCTACTAGACATTAGCCCCTTCATATCTGTCTATTCCACCGTACAATTTTTGTATGCGAAATCTCGCACAAATTGGTGCGATTCAACGTTCAAAGTGTTCCCCTAAATTTTGCATAAACAAACGTGTAACAAGTCACGCACACCACTTTAGCGCACTACATTAACTGTGCACCCTTCCGCGCTTTTTGCAGGTTACGGTGAAGGGCCGCGGTGAACTGGAAAAACTGCAGGCGAGCCGGCCCAGCCTGAACGTCGTGGTGACGAATTTGGACCACGCAGTCTACAATGCCGTCATCGACAGGTGACCAAATAATTTTTGCATCTAACTTTATTCCTGCACCAAACGGTTAAAGAAAGGAAACTTATGCATAAGCATGATTCTACTTAAAATTGAGTTGTAGATGGGGTTGCACTGGTTAAACAAAGTCTTAAAAATTTCGCCCTTCAAGGGCGTAAATCGTTTGGAATGGCGTAAATGGTACTGAGCTTTTAGGCGAAATTGTAATTCCCTTTCAAAGGCACTAACGATTCACGCCTTTCCGGGGGTGTAAATCGTTTACGCCCTTTCTCGCGCCCTTAAGGACATTATTTAATGCATTTGTTTCACCAGCGTCCTTCAGCATAACGCAATAATGGTCTCTTGCTCTAGATGTTTATAAAGATACAGAAATTATGTTCGTTTTTATTCAAGTGTGAAGGTAGTCAGGTCTCAAATATAATCCGAATAATCTAATAGTTTTAGACAAACAGCCTAAAAGAAGTCCGGAACACAGATTCAGACCACCAAGTCAAAAGTGGACTGAGTTTTCTGATTTATTTATTTTTTTGAACGGTGTCGTTGCGAATGCGTAATTTTTGCGCGCCCTGCCACAGGTCCACCATGTGGGGCGTACGCTGCCGGCGCCCCATGTGCCACCCGCCGTCGGACTGCGAGGACAGCGACCCCGTCCTGGACGTGGACGACGGCTCCGCCGACGGCGCCAACGCCAACATCGGCATGCTGTACGAGGACTCGGACCACAGCGACATCGAGGACGTGCCCAAAACGGTGGGTGAAGTCCTGGATGACATGCGCCAGGCCCTAGGGGTGCCGCCCTGGGTCCGGCCCGCAGCAGGCGCCAGAGACTCCGAACGCGGGGGTTCTAGCTCTGGGTCTGCGTCGGAGTTTGAGTGAAGGTTTGTTGAATGGGGAGTACTGCATGTTATAGATTAAAAATGAAACGACTACGCTTTCATTTAGGAATTCCATGATTTAAAATTAGAATGAAACGACTACGCTTTTGTTTGTGAATCCCATGGTATGAAACTAAAATGAAACGACTATGCTTTCATTAGTGAATTCTATGATACAGAATTAGGATGAATCGATTACAATGTCATTTGTGACTTCTTTGATATAAATTTAAGATGAAACAACTATGCTTTCATTTATGCATTAAGAACTTTTTGGTACATGGATTGTTTTGCTTGAGCAGCAGTTGTTATTGACTGCCTTACTTCCAAGTTGAGTCTATTGATTCTATTTTTCTATGTATTGTGTATTGTTTAGTCATTAAATATCAAAGTTCCTTGAAGAATTTTTTTGAGTTTCCTTTACATTTATAAATGATCCATGTTACTGTCAATTCGGCACAACACTATTTCCTCAGAATACAAATCTTTTTTTTTCTACCAAGCACACACTTACATGTGCACTCTTGGCAAGTGCACACTTTTTCCAGTTACTGCCAATGCGTAGCATGGAGTTCTGGGGCCACGCATGCATTTGTAAGTGTGTGGTTGGTCAAGCACTCCTTTGCAAGTGTGCACTTGGTCAAGCATGCCTTTGCAAGTGTGCACTTGGTCAAGCATGCCTTTGCAAGTGTGCACTTGGTCAAGCATGCCTTTGCAAGTGTGCACTTGGTCAAGCAAGCCTTTGCAAGTGTGCACTTGGTCAAGCATGCCTTTGTAAGTGGGCACTTCGTCAATCATGCATTCGTAAGTGTGTACTTGCCAAAATGCATTTGCAGCACTTTGTAGACATTCAACACTGGTAATTTGACCCTGAACTGTCAAGCAGTCGAAGTTGAGCGGCGTGCCGGTGTCCGTGTTGCCGTCCGTCCGGCGATGCCGCGCGATGCCGGGCGATGCCGGGCGGTGCGGTTCCCACCGCAATCTAGGAGGTCCGGCCGCCCCGCTGCCGCGCTTACGCAACGCCCAGCGGCCCAGCGCATCGCCCGCACCGCCCGCACCGCCACAGCGAAGGGCTCCACCCATTTCTCTCTGAGCTGCGGCCGTGCCGGGTCCTTGAATTCACCGCAGGAACTGAACAACAAAGGAGGAAAGGTACACGCTCGAGTGTCTTGGATTGGAAGCCGTGGCGGATCCAAAAATGGCTGAAATGGGGGAATTTTTTGGAATCTTAGGAAGCAACTAACACGGGCACAGTGCGAGCCTCGCCCCGTTCCCTCCTTCCAAGCTGCACTGGTGTCAAACTCGACGCTACCTCTCGCACTTGCTGAGGTGGGTGAAGATCACCTTCATGTACTCACGAGCTGCCGAATGCTCTGCAAGCGCAAGTCTGCGCATGGCACACAGTTTAAAATGGGTGCCTGTATGCACACTGTTCTTAAGTGTGTGTCTGTAGGCACACTGTTCACACAGCGTGCCTGACCGAGACTGCATGGCACATACTTTAATACAGTGTGCATACAGGCACACATTTTAAACGGTGTGCCATGCATACATTTGCGTTTTCAGAGTATGGAAAATCCGGGGTTCTGGGGCCTAAACTAGATTCGGACTCGCAGCCTCTGGTCCTCTCTTCCCCCGCTTCGCTGCGGAGGACCCTACACTGCCCACGCCCCTCCACCGCCTGGACAGGCCCCCTCCGCCGCCCCTGCTCCGCCCCCACCGCCGCCGCCACCCTCCCCGCGCCGCGACGCCGCCCGTCTCAGTATAAAAGCGTCGTGGGGCCCCGGTGCACGGTCAGAAGTGCTATCCGTGTGGCGTTGTGTGTGTGTGAGTGTGTGCGTGTGTTCTCCTGCCGAAGATGTTGCTCAAGGTAAGGACCAGGATCACCACGACGTGGATTACCCCGCGCCGCCTCGGACACTGTGCACAGTGGACGCCCAGGAGGACGCCGAGGACCCGGCTGTCCAGGACTTGGCCGTCGCAAGGACCTGGCCGTCGGGGACTTAGCCGTCCGGGACCTGGCCGTCGAGGACCTGGCCATCGCGAGGACCCGGCCGTCGAGGACCTGGCCGTCGAGGTCCCGGCCGTCGAGGACCTGGCTGTCGCGAGGATCTGGCCGTCGGGCACCTAGCCGTCGGGGACCTGGCCGTCGCGAGGACCTAGCCGTCCGGGAGTTGGCCGTCGCGAGGACCTGGCCGTCAAGGACCTAGCCGTCGAGGACCCGGCCGTCGAGGACCTAGCCGTCTCGGACCTAGTCGTCGAGGACCTGGCCGTCGCGAGGACCTGGCCGTCAAGGACCTGGCCGTCGAGGACCTGGCCGTCGGGACCCGACCGTAGGACTACCCTCGGCCGGCCGTCGAGGAGCCGTTTGGACCTAGTCGTCGAGGACCTGGCCGTCGGGGACCTGGCCGTGGTGCGGACAGGAAGCGCACCGCGGCGAAGTAGGCCGATAGGGAGGCTGCGCTACGCTGCATGCGATTGGGATGCGGTGCGTCTTATGAAACCCCTTTCCCTGGCCGCGCCGCAGCGCAGCCAGCGCACTTACTCCGGAGTGCAGTGCCTTGCAGTGCCGCGGCGAGGGCCGCAGCCCAGGCCGGCCGGCCTCGCAGGCATTATCGATATGTCGTGACGTAACGGGGATTCCCTTCCTGGTCCAGACGGCTCCCAGACTGCCCTCAGGGGCGCCTCGGGCCGGGCCAGCCGGGCCTGCGCCTCGCTCCGAACGGCGCTGTCGCCGTCGCCGCGCTGTCTTCCTCGCACTCGCGAGGCGTCCCGCGTGGGTGCGAGTGAGACAGCGCGGCGACATGGACGTTCCGAAGCAGCCCGCCACGGGCGGCCCGCGGGCCCCACACAGGACATCGCCCATTGTCCTCGCGACGCGCCGCGACGCGCCTCGCCTTGCCCAACCGCCCGACAAAGTGATCATCGATGCGGCGATCCTCCGATCGCACGCACACTCTCACCTACACTCCAACACACGCACACGTACACACCGGGTCTTATTAGGTCATATTCGCTTCGCGACGCAGCGGTTGCGTCATGTCCAGCAGACGCTTCCAAGTGGACGGCCACCGACCCCTCATGACGTCAAAACGAAATCTATTCGGTGGATTCCTGTGTGGAATGGAGCTGCAGGCCCTCCAGACTCCGGGCCCGACTCTGCGTACGCCGAGTCGCTCCGGAACTTGCCTCCCGGCGCAACGACAGAAGAACATGCTGTTGGGAATCAACCCAACCTGCAGCGCCCGAGCGACTCCCGCACTTCACAGTGGGCCAGAAGACCGGTGGAGGCGGTCAAGATCCCGGACGCGTTTTGAGCTCCAGAGTCGCTAAATGGGACTCGAACTGAACGTGTGATCCCACCAATGGATTGCTCTCCGAATGAGGAATCCATTGATGGGGTCACACGCTCGTTTCGTGTCCGGTTAAACGACCTGGAGCTCAAAACGCGTCCAGAGTTTTGGCCGCCGGCGCCGGTCTTCTGGCCCACTGTGCAGTCGTTTTCATCCGCGGGCATGATTACTCGTTGCCTTTAGCAGTGCAGGCGGCACGTGTTCACGGGGGTGCACGACAGCGTGTTGGTCTGAAGTGAGAGCGACGGTCGGCGCGGCAGGGAAGGACACGGCGAGCCTCGCGTGCCGTCGCCCCGACGTGCTGCTTCAGCAGAGTCGCTTTCGTCGCCCTGTCTCTCTCGCACTCGCGGGGGGTCCCCTGTCGGTGCGAGAGAGACAGCGAGCGTGCTCCCCATTAGTCGGCACGACGGACGACCAGAGAAAGTCCAAGTCCGGTGCCATCCCGCGTCGCGGTGCATCGGTGCATCTTCACTGCAACGCCACCGCAAGTCCGGTGGCAAGTTTGCTGGCCGCAAAATTGACAAGCCGTTTTCAATACCAAAGTTTGTCTGTCAGAGAGTGCCAAAATTTGGCACTCCGGCGGCCTGGGTCGCCAAATTTTAGCTTTTTCAGTGGGTGGTCCGGGCCTCGGCCTGGGCCTGTAACAAAGCGAAACTGGACTGTCACGCAGACTTGCCGATGGAATTGCAGTGATTTTGGGCGGCTTTTGCACCGAGACGCCGCGCGGAGGGGAATGGGAAAAGGGGACGGGGGAAAGGGGGGGAGGCACTGCCCCTGGCGACCACTGCGGACCGCAAGGCAGGACACCGGCTGGCCGCCGGTTACATCAAACCACGCAACCGGGAATCACGCTTACAGATACTCCTCTCGCCAACCAGCCCGTCTGTCTGTCGTTCCGTCCGCCAGTCACCACACTGCTGTATTTTTTACTAAAGGGAAGTGATTTCCTAGGCTAAAGACGACATTCCAAATTGGAAAAAGCTTCGTGTTGCTAAATTTTAATTTTAAGTCTGATTTCTTAATTTTGTTGTCCCCATGTAGCTTTTCAAATCCGCTTTTCTACTCGATTTCCTCGCAAGTTGGTCTAAAGTAGAATTACTCATTGCAGGGCGTACTTGATTTTTCGTTTGGCGATCAGGTTCCTGGAGTTGTTGAAATACGAGAAGTAGGAAGTCATGTTTATTGACTCGGCCTTTCCGCCTAACGAAGGAAGGATATCCATTCAGTGGGCCGTCATACTGGAGAGATATTGAAGGCAGTGTCACAACCTATTTAGCCGGCGCGGAACCCCCCTGCTTTATGGGATTATGCGCACAGTCACTCACACATTCTCTCTCCCCTCTCTCTTCTCTCTCTCTCTCTCTCTCTCTCTCTCTCTCTCTCTCTCCCTCTCTCTCTATCTCTCTCTCTCTTTCTCTCTCTATCTCTCTTTCTCTCCCTCTCTCTCTCCCTTTCTCTCCCTCTCCCTCTCTTCTCTCTCTCTCTTTCTCTCTCTTTCTCTCTCTCTCTCTCTTCTCTCTCTCTCTCTCTCTCTCTCTCTCCCTCCCTCTCTCTCTCTCTCTCTCTCTCTCTCCCCCCCTCTCTCCTCTCTCTCTCTCTCTCTCCTCTCTCTCTCTCTCTCTCTCTCTCTCCTCTCTCTCTCTCTCCCCCGCGCGTGTGGGCGTGCACGTACACCGCGTTTCGTGAAGTAACTGTCGTAACGTTTCGGCCACGCCTTCGGCAGCCTTTGGCCGGCCGGCCGGGGCGTTTGCCAGCCGCAGCCATGCGGCCCGGCCATGTGTGTCGGAAATGCTGGGCTGGGCGCGCGAGGCGCGTGCGGACGGACCGGACCGGACTTACGTGGAGCGAGGCGTGCTCGCCTTTCGATCGGCCGGCCGGGGCAATTTTATTTCACCCGATGCAACAACGCCTCCCACGCCCGGGGAGTGTACACTGTGGAAACGAGTCTATCCGCGGGAATTCACGAGAGTACTTCCGGAAAAAAAAAACTGGTGTTACCGAACGCCGAGGGGGCAGCCACATTTGGATGTTGCCGCTAAACGGGACTCGAACCGAGCGTGTGACCCCACCATGGATTCCTCGCTCGGACACAAGATTTCTAGAGTGGTTCCCCCCTCGCCGAATGTTCTCAGCCGTTACTGACTATTTCTCATTAGCAGACGTATTTCTGTAAGCAACCATAATACTTAGTTTTTAGTAATTTCGCTAAAGTTGGAGTGCCCAGCAACTGGGCGCTTTTGTGGCCCGCCCCCTCTTTTTAGGGTGCCTAATGTCACCCAGTTTCTGGGCACCTTTGTCGCCTAGTCTCGGGGTGGACAAACCTTCACCCATGGCTCAGCCGCGCCTAAGGTGGCAAAGGTGCACCTTAGTCGCCCAGGAACTAGACACCTGTGCATGCTGCAGGGCCAGTTGCTGTATGATTTGTGCACCCCGAGACGGCGCGACAGACGTGCCCAGAAACTGGGCGACATTTGGCACCATAAAAGGTGGAGCGGGCGACAAAGGCGCCCAGTTTCTGGGCACTCCACATTTAGAGTGTAGCTGGGTAATTCGAGACACACACACACACACACAACTCCCTCATTCCCAAGCCAACGCGTGAGCTAATCCGTGCTGCGTAAAAGCGGATCGAGGAAACGGGAGACCTAATCTCCGAGACCGCGGCGGCGTCGCTGCTCGCCTGGCGCTGCACACCGATTCCGAGAGTCGTTTTCGTCGCTCTGTCTCTCTCGCACCTACAGGGGACGCCCCGTGAGTGCGAGAGAGACAGAGCGACGAAAACGACGCTCGGAATCAGTCTGCTGCCTGGGTGAGCTCCCCTGCCTCCGCCGATCGCTTGGCTTCCGTCCGTCCGGCGTCGCGGCGCGTCGCGGCGCCTCGGCCAAGCGCGCCAACATCGGGGCCGTAACGACGGTCATAAGGAAAGCACGTAATTGGGCACGGCGCCACGCCGCGCCACGCCACTGCTAATCCCTCGAGCGACGCGCGCTCCTTGTTGAGATGGCGGAAGGGAGCCTGCCGCCGAGCCGAGCGCACCAAGGGCGCACCTGTCAATGAGGGCCACGCCACTGCAAGTCCGCACACTGAATGCTATGTTCAATTTTGTACGAGACATCATAGTTTTTTGTGCACACAAAATTTCCCTATTATTTTCGTAGGGAAATCTGCACATTTTTCGCCATTTTTGTTCAAAATTGTACAAAATCTTGTACAAAATTGTACAATGTACAAAATTTTGTAAAAATTTGTACGAGAAGTTCGTGTGTACAATAAACTTTGATGTCTCGTACAAAATTTGTACAAAACATTAAGTGTGCGACAGCAAGTACTTGGAGTGCAGGTGCGCACTATTAGCAGAAGCTTTTGCACTCTCATTCCAGGATCGTGACGTCACGTTGAAACGAAAGTGACAAAATGTCACGTTTGTTGGAGCATTGTGTCACGGTCGTTTGAATGTGAACAAGCTGATTTTTGGCCAATTCACGCCCAAACGAATGTGACACAATGCTCAAACGAACGTGACATTTTGTCACGTTCGTTTCAACGTGATGTCACGTTCCTGGAATGAAAGTGATGCCTGGGCAAAATCAGCGGCCGTTGGGCATTAAGGACGTAAGTCACATGGGAAACCCATTGAAAATAGGTTGTTCTGTCCGATGACCACTCAAATAGTGCGTGATTTACTCCGAAAGAGTGCATAAGGTGTGCACTTCGCGTTTTGCACAGCATTGCACTTGCACAGAGTATAGACAATGGGCAGGTTTGCAGCAAGTCTGCCGCTGGATTTCTTGCCACGGCCTTCCATGATTTACACCTCGCCCAAAGAGGGCCTTCCCCGCTCCCGCCCCTGCAGCCCCGCCCCTTCAAGGCCGGCCGGTCCGCCTTTGTGGGCGGATCGCCCCGGGCACTTTCCAGGAGACGCGAACGGCGAAACCGATCCGCAGGGAAACGCAAGCGGCGATGACATAAATGGCGGAGGAGTCGGAATGGGGCCGCGCTATTTCTCATAAGTGCCGACTGTGCGCTGCGTGCGCTGCACCAGACTCTACAGTGGCCTGGCCGGCCCTCCGCGGCCCTCGGCCCGGGCCGCCGTTTTTATGGTCCTGACACGAATCCGACTGTGCGCGCCTCGCCTGCACTGTGTGCGGCTACCGCCTCGGCTCCGTGGCCCCGCCCTGGACAGTGGGCCAGAAGGCCGGTGGAGGCGGCCAAAATTCTAGACGCGTTTTGAGCTCCAGTGTCGCTTAGTTGGACTCGAATCGAACGTGTGACCCCACCAATGGATTGCTCTCCGAACGAGGAATCCATTGGTGGGGTCACACGCTCAGTTCGACTCTCAGTTAGCGACTTTGGAGCTCAAAACGCGTCTAGAGTTTCGGCCGCCTCCACCGGTCTTCTGGCCCACTGTGCCCTGCCCCGCCCAGTCTGATTCCGAGAGCCGGCACTCTAGATGCATTCCGAGCTCCAAAGCCGCTAAACGGGACTCGAACCGAGCGTGTGACCCCACCAATGGATTCCTCGTTCGGAGAGCAACCCATTGGTGGGGTCACACGTTCGATCACAGTCTCATTTAGCGACTCTGGAGCTCAAAACGCGTCCGAGATTTTGACTGCCTCCACCGGGTGCGACGGCCGCCCCGGCAGTCCGGCACCACACTGGCAGACCGCGCTGCTGGCACGCGTCCCAGGGAGAAAATAAGTGCGCCATTCGCAGGCCACTTTCGCTCGATAAAAAGTCGATAAGTAGTGCAGTGTGTACACACTGGCTTCCAACGGGCGGTGGGCTGTGCGTCAGCTTTGTGCGAAGTTTACGCACTTCTCATTGCAGGTTTCGAGCTGATGCTCTCGATACCCGCACTCACTCTGACGTTTTTATATCCTACTTAACGTCCGCGAGAAAAGGCAACATCGGAATGCAGTGTTGTTGTAAGACTTCGCGTCGTGTCTCATCGAAGGAAAACAGCTCGTTGGACGCGCCGGGATGCGAACCTGTGAACTTCCCCCTGGCCGCCGCGCCCTCTGACCCCGCGGCTAACAACGTGTCTCGTTTGCAGGTGTGCGCTGTGCTGCTGATGCTGCAAGGGGCGCTGGGGCAGCAGAGCCACCCACAGCTGCAGGCGTACCTCGCCCAGCAGCAACAACTGCAGCAGCAACAGCAGCAGCAGCCGGCCAGGCAACAGTACCGGCTCGTCCCGGCCGCCGCGGCGCAGGCACCTCAGGTAAGCACAAGCACCACTGCACTGGGATCCACTTGCAGTTCCAACGCCGAAAAGGCTTAAAAACTTACGAAGTATTCTGAGTTAAATGTATGGTAAAAACTATTTAGTTTGTTATACGAAAAGTTCGTAACTTAGGCCCTCGAAGTTTTTATGTAAACTTATACATGCTACAAAATACGTTTTTACGACAAGCTTCTTTTCTCTCTAAGGCCTAAAATACACCGGCAAAACTGAAGCGTAGTTGTATGCTTGATTCAAGCATACAACTACGCTTGAAGACTTTACGCTTGACGTCAAGCGTAGAGAAGAAATTCTCCCATGCATTTAGATAGGCGGGAGAGGGGCAAAATGGAGAACTATGCTTGAAGCTATTAGGCTTGAAGAAAGGCGTAAAACTACGCTTGAGTTCTACCAGTGTAGTTTGTAAGCTTTTTTTTTTATGGTCCTTGCCTCCCAGGAGCGCCTGCGAGGTAGGCCACTTCTTCGATGCAGCGCTTCGGTGCGCGGCGGGCCTGTCTACCAACCCTCGCAGGCGATTGCGATTGCTATTAATGGCTGGTCTGCCCTGCGGACTGCGCGGCAGAAACGGCGCCCGTTTTTGCCAGGAACTTCCTGGAAATCGCCTGTGTTTTTACTGTAAACTGTAGGCTACCTTCTGAAAACCAGGAACCTTTCTTGCCGTGCAGTTGAGACCGCGCGGTCTAGCCCGTAATGGTAATGCGAGGGTAGGCAGGCCCGCCGCGCGCCGGAGCGCTGCATCGTAGAAGTTGCCTACCTCGCAGGCGCTCCATGGACTTGAACTTGAGAGGCTAAATGTAGCTGTCCAATTTTGTACGTGGTTTCACACAGTGTCACAATTTCAAACATGCAAGCGTTTTCGTACAAGTTTGTACCCAGAATTGCACAAACTGGTGCGAAATTGCTCACAAATTTGTACGAAAAGCGCGCACGCGCAGAATCACTGAGAAAATTTATTGTCACTTTATGTCAAACTTGGATGATATTTTCATCACTTACAAATTTTGACAATCTCATCACAAATTGATGACATTTTCATCAAAGCTCCTAGACTTATTGCATGGGCGTGACAACAATGTCATCAATTGTTTTGATGACATTGTTGTAAGGAAAATTAGCCTCGAAATTGTCATCAAGTGACGACTCAAATTTTCACAGTGATGGTGTGAGACCACGTACAAAGTTGTACACGGGAATAATTTTGTGTGGGACTCTTATTGGTCAGGGTGTGGCCCGTGACTGTCTCGTTTCCATTGTGGACTGAAACGCTACTTTGTAAACTCGACTCTCTAACAGCTCCACCCACTGAGGCTGAGCGCGATGATGATAATATCGAACGTAGACCCGTCCGCACCAAGTCGTTTCATGGCCGTCGTATTTATTGTGCCCAGCCTGCGTGGACTGATTTCGAGAGTCCTTTTCGTCGCTCTGTCTCTCTCGCACTCATGGGGCGTCCCGTATAGGTGCGAGAGAGACAGAGCGACGAAAACGACCCTCGGAGTCAGTCTGCGGCGCGGCCTGCTGCGTGCGGGTGTCGGGGCTGCGCGCTGCGCGGGCGTCGCTCGGAGCCCTTTCCCCTTTCTCAGAGAGTCCTTAACCTATGCGGTGCCTATGCCACGCCACGCGGTCGCGCGGCGCCACGCCGGCCAACGCCCGACCACCGCGATGCGTAGCGTAGCCGCAGGCCCGCGACGCCTACACCGTGGAAACAACGCCAATGGCACGCACTGTTGGAAATAAAAATTTACGCGGGAGCCGCCTCTGGAAAAAAAAATTATTGCTGATGACGTTTCTTCGTAAGGTCACGGACGATCCTTTCTTCACGCTTGAAACCTTACGAAGTATTTAGAGCATATATATTACAAACTAATTTACTTTGGTATACGAAGAAATAGTTCGTAAATTACGAAGTATTTTCTTTGTAAGCCTATGTATGCACAAAATACTTTGTAATGCCAAACTGCTTTTCTTTGTAAGGCCTGAAATAGTTTGTAAGGTTTTCTCAGTGTTAAATCTACGAAGAATCATCTTAAGTTTTATGAAGGATGTGTGAATTCACAACACACTAGATGTTTTTGTACAAATTTTGTACGATACATCACAGTTTTTTGTGCACACGAACTTTTCGTACAAATTTGTAAAAAAAATTGTACAATTTTGTACAAAAATGGCGAAAAATGTGCTGTTTTTCTTACGAAAATTGTACGAAAATTTCGTATGCACAAAAAACTGTGATGTCTCGTACAAAATTGCACATAACATTTGGTGTGAATGCGCCTTAGTGAATTTTCAAAGACTCCCGTAAAGTCCTCGCAGAGGGTTCACTACATATGTTGTTGTTGCTGGCCACCCACTCGCAGAGCGTTCAACGCGTGTTGTTGTTGCTGTTCCAGCGGTACGTGCAGCAGTACGCCGACGACGAGGGTGCGGCGCAGTACCAGCAGGTGGCCGCCGTGCCGCGACCCCAGTACCAGCCGCAGCAGCCGCTGTACCGCACCGCGCCCCTCGCAGTGCCGCAGTCCCAGCTCAGGCTGCGGCCGCAGCAGGCGCAGCAGGAGCAGGAACTGCAGAACCCCGAGGACTACGACGTGAGTGCCGCGGCCAGTTCACTGCGAAAGCAAAGTCGAGGAGGGGTCCACCACACTGGTAATCGGGTGTACACTTCGTCCAGTAATCATTGGTAATCGCACGCCAAAAATTGCTATTCTCGCTGTTTTTATCGGATTTTGGGGGTTTTCCTTATGAAAATAGGCCAAAAATGCTCTTACCTGGCCAAAATTATAGAGTTTTTGCCTGGTAATCAGTAATCCTGTGTACACTTCTGAGCGCTCCTGAGCTGAGTGGTGGACCCCTGGAGCAAAGTGTGGAGGACTCAGAAAAGCGAAGCACAGTCGCCTAGAAGACCGGCGCATGCGGTCAAAATCCCGGACGCGTTTTGAGCTCCAGAGTCGCTAAATGGGACTCGAACTGAACGTATGACCCCACCAATGGATTGCTCTCTTAATGAGGAATCCATTGGTGGGGTCACATGCTTTGTTCGAGTCCTGTGAAGCGACTCTGGAGCTCAAAACACGTCTGGGGTTTCGGCGGCACTACTTCAAAGTGCAGAGTTTGCAGTCTCCACAGTTCAATTTAGATTTGCAGTGAATACTGATGCAAAATTTTACTCAAATAAAGTAAACCAGCCTTGGAGGATGCATTGTTCTACCGCGTTACAAAACAGCAAGCGCACATCGCACCAAACAGTTCCCCTTTCCGGCGTAACCGGCCGCGGAAAACGCATGCAACCCCCGACACTGGCTGCGACCGGCCGCGCGGCGCGGCGAAGGAACTCTACTTGCTGTGCTGACGTCAGAAGGACAACCCACCGCTGGTATTACGGCGCCGTCCAACCACCCCTCCTGCAAGACTGATTCCGAGAGTCGTTCTCGTCGCCCCGTCCCTACACGGGACGCCCCATGAGTGCGAGAGAGACGGTTCGACGACTCCGCTGCGTTTGCCACGGGCGTGACCGTGGCGGCGTGACTTGTACGGCGACACGCGTGCGTTGCAATTAGCGGCCAGAAAAAAAAGGCGAGCCGAGTGGAACCGGGAGGCCGAGGGGCAGTCAATAACGAACAGCAGGGCCACTTTCCACCTCGGCCTGCCTCGCTTTTGACCGCCACCGTCGTCTCTCTCTCTCTCTCTCTCTCTCTCTCTCTCTCTCTCTCTCTCTCTCTCTCTCTCTCTCTCTCTCTCTCTCTCTCTCTCTCTCTCTCTCTCTCTCCCTCCCTCCCTGTGTTTGTGTGTGTTTGTGTGTGTGTGTGTTTGTGTGTGTGTGTGTTACGACACGCTGCCTGGCGGTCGTGTGATCTGGTGCGCTGACCTACCAGTGCGGGTGGCTGCAGCCGTACGTGCAGGAATCTCCTGCTCCCCCCTCTCCCACACTGCCAATCCAAGTGTGAGACAGTCTCACACTTGTAGGTGTGGGACATTTTGTCTCGCGTTTACAAGTGTGAGCCACGTTTGTCTCACGCTTGCAAGTGTGGGACAACGAAGTCTCACACTTGGAAGTGTGAGACACAGCTTGTCCCACACTTGCTGCCTATGCAAGCTCTTGGTTCAATGCCAAGGGTCCCACGCCTGCAAGTGTAGGACAAACCGTGTCTCACTGAGACATTGATGTCTCACACTTGCAGGCGTGAGACAAAATGTCCCACACCTACAAGTGTGAGACTGTCTCACACTTGGATTGGCAGTGCATCGCCATCGCGAGCTCCTCTGGTTCTACCGCGGGACACCGAAAGCAAGTTTCCAATTCCTCGCTTGTTTCCACCGCGACAGTTTGTGTTGCTTTTTTTTTTCAGCGGCTTTGGGTTACTCCGAAACGAGGAAACTGTTCCTGCCGGAACGCGCGGGGATGGACACGACGGCGTCGTCCTGGCCCTGGCCGGGGCCCTGGCCGGCAGGCCGATTCCGAGAGTCGTTTTCATCGCTCTGTCTCTCTCGCACTCGTGGGGCGTCCCGTACTGGTGCGAGAGAGACAGAGCGACGAGCGCGACTCTGGGAATCAGTCGGCGGAGGGCGTCATCCTGTTGCGGCGGCGGCCCGTCAGCCAGCCAGGCTCAGCCGGCTCACTTTCACTCTCTGCTGTTCCGCTCGCGGCCGGCCGGCTAGACGCCCCGCGACATGGCACGCCACGCCACGCCACGCCTTGGCACGCCACGGAACGAGGCTCCTCGTTAGTGGCATAACTCGAGATGCAAAGACGGCCCGGCCGTCACAACACGCCACGACGCCGCAGAAAGTTGGCAAGGCGGGAATGGAGGAGGCCAGGCGGAACGTCAAGAGAGTTTGGGTGGGCAGTGTATTGCAGGTTGCCTACCTCGCAGGGGATTGACCCGGGGCAGCTCAAAAACTGGGCCTCTGACCCTCTGAACCGGTGCTTCCAACGCCATTGGGGGAGGCATGCAGGCAGGGCGCCCCACAGTGGGCCAGAAGACCGGTGGAGGCGGCCGAAACTCTAGACGCGTTTTGAGCTCCAGAGTTGCTGAATGGAACTCGAACCGAACGTGTGACCCCCACCAATGGATTGCTCTCCGAACGGGGAATCCATTGGTGGGGTCACACGTTCGGTTCAAGTCCTGTTTAGCGACTGTGGAGCTCAAAACGCGTCTAGAGTTTTGGCCGCCTCCACCGGTCTTCTGGCCCACTGTGCGCCCGTGGCTCTGAATTCACGCTGCCGCCTTCGGTTATGCGTCATCGACGTGCAAATGACTCGAAGCAACTTCGAGGCTGAATGACGGTTTTTCAAGGTCAGCGACGCCCTTTGTCTTACGAGTTTATGCTCTGTGTGACGGCAGCCCAACCCCCAGTACCAGTTCGGCTTCGACGTCAAGGATGACCAGTTCACCAACTACCAGAACCGCAAGGAGCAGCGCGAGGGCGACAAGATCACCGGCAGCTACAGTGTCGTGGACTCGGACGGCTTCATCCGCACCGTCACTTACACCGCCGACCCCAAGGAGGTAGGTCCTCAGGTCCTTCACCCGACCTTCGCACAGTGGGCCAGAAGACAGCAAAGGCGGACAAACCTCCGGACGCGTTTTGAGCTCCAGAGTCGCTAAATGGGACCGGAGCCGAACGTGTGACCCCACCAATGGAGAGCAAATCAATTGGTGGGATCACACGTTCGGTTCGAGTCCCAGAGACTTTGAAGCTCGAAACGCGTCTGGGATTTTGATCGCCGCCACCGGTCTTCTGGTCCTCTGGTCCACTGGCCCAGAAACACAATAACTGTCTTTCCATTCACGGTGAATTTTGTTTTCCGCGTGCAGGGCTTCAAGGCCGAGGTGACCCGCACCCCCACCGACATCGTGGTGAAGCTGCCCACGCCGCCGCCCCAGCAGCTCCAGGACGCTCACGGACTGCAGCGGCAGCTGTCGGCCCGCCAGCAGCAGTACCTGCAGGTACGCGGGGCCGCGGGGCAGTCGGCACTACATTGTTAACCAAGTCACAGCGGGCCACTGGCGCGGGCACGGGCTCCAGTACAGAGTCGGTAAATGGGGCTTGAACCGACCGTGTGACCCCACCAATGGATTGCTCTCCGAACGAGGAATCCATTGGTGGGGTCACACGTTCGGTTTGAGTCCTGTTTAGCGATTCTGGAGCTCAAAACGGGTCTGAGGTTTCGGCCGCTCGCGCCGGTCTTCTGGCCCACTGCACGGCGCCGCGCGCTGCTGCCGGTTGGGATGCCTACCACGAAGGCGCTCGGCGACGTCTGTGTCTGTGGCCACGGCCATGCAAAAATGCATTGTTTTGGCCGGTTTTGGCCGTGGACTTGTTGACAGTCACCCGTCGCTCGCGCACCGCTTTGGTCGAGGGCCTGTAGCGCCTGCGAGGTAGGCCACCCATCCGTCCCGCGACACACGGGTGTGGAGACGGCGGCCTACGTCGCACCTGTGAAGGCGACAGGGGCAAGGTAGGCCACCGTCTCCACACCCGTGTGTCGCGGGACGAATAGGTGGGCTACCTCGCAGGCGCTACAGGCCCACCTCGCCCGCTTCCAAGTCGGCAGTCCGAATGGCCGCCAATCTACTCGTTTCGAAGCATTCTTCCCGCCAGAAACCCGTGGCCACAAGCAGGGAAGCAGAGCGGACTAGAAGACCGACACAGGCGGCCAAAATTCTAGACGCGTTTTGAGCTCCACAGTCGCAGAACAGGACTCGAACCTCACATGTGACCGCACCAATGGACTCATCTCCGAACGAGGAATCCATTGGTGGGGTCACACGTTCGGTCCGAGTCCCTTCTAGCGACTCTGGAGCTCAAAACGCTTCCGGGATTTGGGCCGCCTCCACCGGTCTTCTGGTCCACTGTGGGACGCCCCCGTGACGCGGCGTATCGCTGTCGGTTGCAGGCGCAGCAGGCCGGCCCCGAGCCCCAGCAGCAGCAGCAGTACCTGCGGCCCGCCGCCCAGTACGCGCAGCCCTCGCCCGCCCAGCTGCAGCAGCTGCAGCTGCTCGCGGCGCAGCAGAGGCAGCACGGCGGCCAGCTCCTGCGCGCCGCCCCCAGCGCCTCGGCCGCCGCCGCCGCCTCCCGCGCCGCCCAGGGCTACGCCCAGCAGCCCGAGCAGTACCAGCAGTACCAGCAGTAGAGACAGTTCCTAGCGACGAGGGGCCGCAGCGGCAGTCCGTCATCCCTCGCGCGGCCCCTGCAGTGCGAAAAGCGAGTTACACGTCGAGTGCCAAAGTGTCATTTTTGTGCGAAATCGAATCCTGTTTCTCGGAATGACACGCCCAGTTTGAGTCGAAGGGTTGAATCGTCCGAAAGTTGTCGTTTCAATTTTCGTGTTTTGGACTCGAAAAAGTTATGCGCTGGACAAAGGCGTGGAACATTAACTCGGTCAAAATTTTTGAAGTCATTTCTGGGAGGCGGCGAGGGCAGTGGCGCGTTCCTAGAGACTAAGAGTGTAGTGATTTTGTCCCACAGTGAGGACGCAAGACTTAACCAACCAAAACGTGAAGCACGCGCTGTCTTTGTTCGCGCATGTGTACTTAATGTGTATAGTGATCTCGTCTTAAAAGTGTGTTTGCGAACCTTCCTTGTCCATGTGTCCTTTCTCCTTGAGGTCGGAGTCCTCCTATGTACTGGTTTCTTTCATTTTACACTGTGCCTGCGCCGACGGCAGACCAAGCAAGCATGGAGTGTGCACTCCATGCCGTGATATTGAACCATATCGTGTGGTGTCGACTTATCGAACCGTCTGAACTACGCACCTTGCCTCATTCAATCATTAAGTTACGTTCATCATCTTTTACAAAAAAATAAAACTATTTTTATTTATAAAATTACCGTAGCAGTCATTCCTTTGTTCCCTCCCTGCATTACTCAATTTTACACAACCTCATGAGGTGACAGTATTCTGATACATTTGAAGGTCCCATGAGTTGGTTGAAAAACGCTCAATGCATATGTCTCGGGCTCAGGAGCGGTCAAATCACGTAACGCCAACAACAGTGTCGTTGGAAGGGGAGCGTGGGGAAGTCGTCCTTCAGCCGGTACGAAATATGGAAATATACAAAAATATCGTTACGTGATTACTGAACGCTCCCAAGAAGACGGAGCACAGTGGGCCAGAAGACCGGTGGAGGCAGTCAAAACTCCGGACGGATTTTGAGCTCTAGAGTTGCTAGATGGGACTCGAACGGAACGTGTGACCCCACCAATGGATGGCTCTCCCAACGAGGAATCCATTGATAAGGTCACACTTTTGATTCGAGTCCTGTTTAGCGACTCTGGAGCTCCAAACGCGTCTAGACTTTTGGCCGGCGGCGCCGCTCTCCTGGCTCGCTGTGCGGCGGCGGCCGCTCAGGCGAAGTGGTGGCCGACGTGGTGCCGGACGCCCCACTTGTAGTGGCCGTGCTTGTCCGTCTTGACGAAGCTGTGCACCGGCCCGGTGGAGCCCATGTGGCCGTGCCGCTTGACGCGGGACTCCTCCAGCTCCTGGTCCGAGGCCGCGTCCTGCTCCACGTCGTCGGCGGCCCCCTTCGGCGCCGAGGCGTAGGCGCCGTGCTGGCGGCGGACGCGCGTCACCTCCGGCAGGGCCTTGGCGGGCTTCGCGGCGGTGCTCGGCGGCGTGGTGGCCGCGCCGTCCAGCATGTGCGGCTGCGGCACGACGGGCAGGTCGGGCTGCCGGCGCACCTTCTTGACGCGGGCCTTCTTGGCGGGGCGGCGCATCAGCGGCGGGGAGGTGATGGTCTCCTCGGCGGGCTCGGCGTCCACGAGGCCGGCGTCCTCGCGGTTGGCGAGCTCCTCGGCGAGCAGCGCGGCGGCCTGGCGGGCCGTGAGCTCGGGCCGGCCGTTCCAGCTGCCCGGCTGGCGGCGCTGCCGCAGCAGCTGCACCTGCTCGGCCAGCGCGGCGGCCTCCTCCTCCTCGGCCAGCATCTCCTGCTGCTGGCGCTTCCAGGCCGCCTCGGCGCGCTCCCACGAGTGCAGCGGCAGGTCCGCGGGGCCGGGCGTGGCGCCCAGCAGCGCCGCCGTCATGGCCCGAGCCAGCTGCGGCGGCGGCGTCGGCGGAGGCGGCGGCGTGGACGGCGGCGGCGTCGCGGCGCCTGCAACGGGACTCTGTTGAAGGGCGGATCCAGGGACGGGTTCAGGGGGAAGACGATGCCGCTCAAGTCGCCTACTTACAGTGGCAAATTGCGACTTTTCGGGTGGCCTCGTCATCTTCAAGGAAGGGCGAAGCCACATCGCCTCCCCCTGGATCCTCGCCAGACTCTGACAGTGTGTCAGATGGCCGGCGCAGGCGGCCAAAACTCGAGACGCATTTTGAGCTCCAGAGTCGCTAAATCGGACTCACCGAACGCATGACCCCATCATTGGATTGCTTTCTGAACGAGGAATCCGTTTGTGGGGTCACACGCTCGATTCGAGTCCGATTCAGCGACTCTGGAGCTCAAAACGCGTCTTGAGTTTTGGCCACCGCCGCCGGTCTTCTAGCCTACTGTTCGGCTCGGAGCGGAGCGCGCCTTGTACGCCGCCGCACGAGCGCGTCTAGGCCGCCCGCCCCGCGACTCCGGACCACTCCCGCGTCACCATACATGTCCCCGTCCTCCACCGACAGACCCGCCCGGCCCAGGGTGAGTACCGTTCCCACAACCAGAGTGCTTCTAGCTAAAACTAGCCTGGAATGGGCAGACCAACGAAAGCGGGGGTGCGAGTTGGGTTTGTTTTTCTGCTGTGACTTTGCAGCTGCGTTGCTAGTAGTCAGTGACGCACGCCGGGCGAACGCCCAGTGAGAAAAGGTTCGATCGACGGCGACGACATCTCAACGCTTGCTGTTATTACTTGGCCGCGCAAGTTCGCCCGTCGACGTCGATGCGAATTCGGTCTCTCACTGGGACCGTCGCCACAGCAGTCTCACCTCGTGGGGCTCAGTCTGGCCTCAGTGCGGCGCGGACGTGAGGGTAGCCTGTCCTCGTCGCGGCGCTGCTTGGCCTCAGCCGACGCGGTGCCGCACGCTCCACTGCACCGTGCCGTCGTGGTTCGTCTTGACGAAGGTCTGCACGTCGGCGTCGCCGTGGATCTCCGGCACACCGTACGACGTGGACGGCGGCAATTGCGGCCGTGGCGGCCAGTGCGGCGGCGGTGGGTGGTGCGGGTGGTGGTGCGGGTGGTGGTGATGGTGGTGGTGATGGTGAGGCACCGGCAGCACTATGTGCTCGTCGTCATCCTGCACGTGGTGCACGTGGTACTTGATGACGGAGGGCGGCGGGTGGTGGTGGTAGTGGTGGCTGGGCAAGTGGTGCTGCTCGGAGATGAACGCGGGCTGCTCCTCTTCGCCGCCGAAGCCCTCATCGTGGCCCTCATGCTGCACCACGGCCTGCTCGTGGATGTGGTTGGAGCTGACGTCGTCCACGGCGGGCACCTCCTCCAGGCCGAAGTCCCCGCTGGGGCCGTCCGGGACGTCGCCCAGCGAGTCCGGCAGCGAGTCGGGGCGCGCCGGGCCCGAGGTGCCGTCGAAGAAGGTCGACGGGTACGACGGCGTGTCCGCGGCCTCGGGCGCGTTGAGGCTGGACAGGGAGTCCGAGTCCTTGACGGGGTCCTTCGGCTGGGCCTTCGGCGGGCCCTTCGGCGGGTCCTTGGCGCGCGGCGGGGCTGCCAGGGGCGGCAGCGGCGTGGGGATGAAGGGCTCCTTGCTTTGCCCGTGATTGTCGGGGCTCCTCGGCCCAGGCCCCGACGGCCCCGTCGGGGGAGGTTCGGGTCGCTTCGGGGGCGGCGTCGGGTGGTCGGGCCGTGCGAAGGCGGGCTGCAGCTGCGAGTGCGGCGGGGCGGGGACGTCGAACTTGTACGGTGTGTCGGGCCGCTGCGGCGGCGTGCCTGGCTTGATGGAGACGACGAAGTTGTACGGCACGTCGGGCCCAGCCGTGGGCCTGGCGCCGCCGCCCACGCCAGTGGGGCGTTCGAACTTGTACGGCATGTCCGGCTTGGCCGGCAAGTGAGGGAAGTTGGGCCTGTCCGGCCCGGACGGGATCCTTTGGACCGCGGGCCGGAACAAGGGAGGCAGCGCGCTCGGCTTGGCGTCGGGCCGGTACGCGCCGACGGCCTTGTTCGCGTGGCTGGGGACTCCGGCGGGGACCGCCAGCCGGTTGGGCAGGTCGGCGTGCTCGTCGTGCATCGAGGACTCGGCGCTGTCGGGCCCGTTCGCGCCGGAGGGACTGGCGGGCTGTCCTCGCACCAGGTACACGGGCGCGTCGAACGCGGTCGGCGGCGACTGGTAGTCGCGGAACTCGTTGTCGTCCTCCTCGAGCCCCTCGGAGCTCTCCGTCTCGATGACGAAGTCCGGCGCCGCCACGAACGTCGGGTGGAGGTCGCTGCCGGCCGCGGTCTTGTCGCCAACCTGGACGTCCTGGACGTGCTGGCGGTGCTGGCCGTGCCGGTCGTGCTCGCCGTCCTGGCCATGCTGGCGGTGCTGGCCGTGCCGGTCGTGCTCGCCGTCCTGGCCATGCTGGTGGTGCTGGCCGCGCTGACCACTCTGGACGTCTTGGCCGTGATCGCCGTCCTGGCCTTGCTGGCTGTCCTGGTGGTGTTGGCCGTCCTGGCCGTGCTGGCGATGCTGGCCGTGCTCGCCGTGCTCGCTGTCCTGGCCATGCTGGTGGTGCTGGCCGCGCTGACCGCTCTGGACGTCTTGGCCGTGATCGCCGTCCTGGCCTTGCTGGCTCTCCTGGTGGTGTTGGCCGTCCTGGCGATGCTGGCCGTGCTGGCTGTGCTCTCGGTCCTGGCCATCCACGCCGTCCTCGCGGGACGAGGCGGTGTCCGCCAGGTCATTGATGGCGAGCACGTCGACGCGGCGCGCCACCCTGCGCCTGTGCCTGGCCAAGCCCCTGGCCAAGCCCGTGGCCAGCATGTGCTTGTTGCGGAGCCACGGGCCGCGCACCTTGTTGCGCTGCACGTACTGGTGCGCGGGCGCGAAGGGCCGCGCCGCCTCCAAGGAGGGCCACGGCCTGGCCCAAGGCCTGGCCGGCCACGGCGACGGAAGCGCGTACTGGCCGCGCGGCGCGGACGCGGCGCCCTCGGGCTCCCCGACGTCGGCGGACGACGCGGACGGCGGTCTTGACGGAGGCGGGCGACGCAGCTTCCGTGGCGGCAGGCCACCCGGAACCCTGGGTCGGAAGTCGCTGGGTGGAGCTAGAAAGCCTGCGGTGCGGAGCAGCGCTACAGTGTGGCAGTCACAATTACGGAGGTGCGGCGTCGCTACGAATTCCTCGGCTCCAAGCGTTAGTTCTACATCTACTCAAAAACTACCGCACCGTCAGAATGCGCTTAGCTTAGCAACACTACGAGCAACAATAATAACAGCAACTTCTACCCGAACAAACTAGCAACCAGTTACTCCAAAAATAAACTACCAAAAACTTGAACTACTCGCCTCTTGTCCGAGGAGGCCACTACAGAAGTACATAACATTTAGGAGTGCAGGAACTTTACTGGGAATTCCGATTGAATTTTGGAAAATTTGTTAAAAACGGTTCGGAGTTTGTCGCTTACCGCGGTCCTCGGCTTCCTGCGTGGGCCCGGGGCCCGGGTCCGGCGCGGCGGGCATGGCGTCAACCAGCGTCGCCGTGGTGGCCTCGGCGTCCTGGCCGCGAGTGGGGTCGGCCAACACGGCCAGCATCACCAGCGGCAGCACCACCTTCTTCTGCACAAAACACACGGCACGTCACGACACTGGGCAAATCCGCGGGTTGTCCACAGCACAGTGGGCCAG